TAAGAGAGAGAGAGAGAGAGAGAGAGAGAGAGAGAGAGAGAGAAGTACTAGATATTTAGTAGTAATAGAAAAGACCTAGAAATGACGCTCTCCAACAACACGCCTACATCACTATCAGACGAGACAAGACACACACACGCACACACACTAAGGTCCTATATTATATAAGTGTGGAAGATTAGAGGTGACACAAGAGAGAAACAAACACAAAAAGAAGAGATTAGGACGGTAGACCCTCTATGTTTGATAGGAAAGGAGCCAACCACACCAGACAGAGCACCCTCCAACCAATCACGGGTGTGCATGCGTATACTGTATACATGTAGATTTATACAGCAGAGTCTGCCTAATCAGAAATCTGCGGGACTGTCGGAATAATATTCTCCGTTTAGCCGCGTTTGCGGTTTCAAGGGTTGCTTAATAATAATAGAGATGATTATGAGCAGGGGTGAGTTGGGAATGGTGCCGGGCATGCTTGTGGCAAACTTCACTGTGCTTTATCTACGACACCGCTAGTTTGCTTACTCTACCTATCATTAGTAGAAAACAGACGGAAGAGTTGATAAGCACTTCTGTAATTGTACCGCTGCATAGCTTACTGCACTGTGCTCTGCGCTCGTCTGGGGAGGCGAGGGAAAACGCCCAGTGCCATCAGTGACGTCACGCGCTCATTTGTAGAGCCTGTGATGTGAACCTAGACGCCCAGAGAACGTACAGTATAACAACGTATAGATGTGAACCAACTTAAATAAGCTTAGCTTTAGTTAGAGTTTTACGGCACTTGAAACACAATACGGTCACAAAAGTGCCGAAAACTACAGGTGTTGCAAGGAAGGAAGGAACAGATGTTTGATATATATGAAAGAAGAAGCAAACCATACCAGAGCACCCGCTAACCACCCAAGAACCAACTTTGCAGGGCAGACAATAGGTCATGATCAACAGAAGGTCATGCGACAGATGTAGGCTTGTAGCTGCCTGCTACAGTAGGCCTACTGTCTGTTCATGATAGGTGGGCGTATTGCCTGTAGCCTGGGCGTAGAATCTACATCCTCTGTCCTTGTTTCACAAGGCTTATTATGCATAATGAGTAGGCTCATTGTGATGTGTGTGATAAAAGCATCAACACCCGCACTTTTGTGACTCTTTCATCAGTTTAAATACAATAATGTACCGGTAGTTTCGAAGCGCGCATAATATTATGAGACTTGATAATTTGCGTTACTCGAAGGTTGCTAATGAAACTTTTGTCGACACAGCCTTTGATGGTCTAAAAATAGGAGCATTTCACTTGATCGGACATTTCCTTATAAAGACAGAAAAAAATGGGGATTCTATTCTTTCTCAGTTTGCTGTCGTTTTCAGACTAATCGATGGCATTCTGAAAGTCATTAAAAAACGCAGCACTTCCTACTTAGAATTTTACACGTTTCTTCATTTTCCGGCTCATTTGAACCTTTTTGATAGCTTTTTTCAACAGATTTCGATCCCTGGTCTTCTTTCTTTAGCCCACCTCCCTCACACAAATTTGCAGATAAGCACGCATCGAAATGTAGAAAAAATAAAGATCGGTAAAACGGCCTCTTGCTGCAGGCACTCGGCGCTTCAGGTCGTCCCAGATGTGGTCCGCTGGAGACGTTTCTTATTAACAATAACACTAACAGGGTACTGTACACCGGCCTAAACACGTCTGTACAGTTAATTGATCGTTTTTGTTTGTTTGTTTGTTTTTAGTTAAAAGGAGCACATCGACACAATAATAGCCATATAGTGCTGGGAAAGAGTTGTTTTTTTTTTTTTTGCAAAGTGATTTACGGCGCTCGCAACTGCATAAGGTCACATGAGCGCGCAGGACACACTTAATATTTTCAGTTGGTAGGAAATTTTTAATTTTGCCAGGATGGCGGCCGAAGCCTACTCTTATCGATTTTAGACCACCAAGGGATCTTTAACGTGTGCAACTTGCACATGGGCCCTCTGAGATTTTTCGCCCTTGTCCGAGATGTATAGATCTTTCCTACCAGAAGATCAGGGGTGTGGTTGAAAGACAGCAGTAAGAAGTGAAGGAGTAGCAGTAGAAAGGCTGCAGAAAGAATCAGGAGCCCAGAGGAAGGGGCAAAGGAGGTGAGGGGGTGGGGGCAGAAAGAGGATACGAAAGCAGACTACAGAACATTGCTAGAGAGCAGGAAATGAGGTGAAAGGAGACACATTTAGAGAATAAAAATTTTCGGTCGCTACCCGGATTCGAACACGGGACCTTTTGAATGAGAGGCCAACACATTAACCTCTAGGCCACGAGAGCCCCGGAAAGATTAAGACAGCTAGAAACAAGAGAGAAAGTAATAAAGAAGAAAGATACTATAGGCGCTGTCCAACCACCCGTTCTTAATATTAGATCTAGATCTTTAGTTTTTCAAATAGGTTACGCCATCAAACGCGTTGGGGCGGCGTCCATTGTTGAAGCAAACATTTTCACAATGGATAGTTAAAGGGCTGGTTTCTGGCTCGATTCGAATACATGAACACTACGTGAATCATCAGTCCACAAAAGTACACATGTATATGCAGAGACACTCTCTCCATAACTACATCTAGCCGAATTGTTATCCCGATTACGTTAAAATTAGTGTAGGCTACATGTAATACGATCCTGTATTGAAAACTGGTACGAGTTGTTTGAGGTTTTTTCGTGATTGAGGAAGGTTACACCACACACAACCACAGCATGAAATCTTTGGTCTTCATGTCTCAAGACCTCTCATGTTTTTCACAATCGTCTCCCTTTTGGGCGGATGATACAATTTATCGAAATGTTTGTTTGAGTATAAGAGAAGAACATCTTCACAAATAATGGTAATTTAGGTCTAGTGCTGGGGAAAAGTAAGACAGGCAGACAGACAGAAACAATAGACGGAACAAGAAAGAAGAAGGACTTACCTGAGGCGCCCTCAAACCACCCGCATTATTATTATTATTATTATTATTATTATTATTATCATTTACTGTAACTGCTGCAACACTATTGACATTAACATTCATAGCGAGAACTAAAATGGATGTCTTAACAGTTTACGTTACAGATTATATCAAAAGTCAAGTGAGGTCTCGCCGTGCCGCTTGGAAAGTCTTCTACTTCGACACAGGTATATCACTACCCAACCCTAAAATTACCAGTTTTTATTTACTCAATAGGCTACCTAGTTTTGAGAAATTTGATGTAAA